GGGGGGCGGGGCGCCAGCCCCGCATCCGGCCCCCCCAATCCTGCGGGCAGGTGTGACATCACACCTCGGCGGGCTCCCCCGACGCGGGGCCGCCCTGTTTGTGGGTGGCGGGCGCGGCATCGGGACCAGGGGACCCAGTCCCCGCGAAGGCGCACGGTCTTCGCCTTGGTGATGGCTTGGCCTGCGCGGAGACAGGTGGGTCTGGGCCGGGGTAGGTGCTTCCGGTTACAGCTGCCCGCGGTTTCCCAACAGCGCCATCAGCTGTGTGGGCTGGCTGGGAGGGCGAGGCTGCGGGTTGGTACTGAGTGCAAGGGACGGAGCCCGGACGCAGTGTGGAAGCGGGGCCTCAGAGCGGGTGTCGGGGACGCTCTGTGCGGTACGGGCACAATGAGGGTCCGTGCTTTGAGGGGCTGTCACGGGCCGTACCCACGTAGGAGCTTGGGTCTTTTTGTTCCTTGGGGGAGAGTCTTCCAGCTCTGGCCTTAGTGGGTGACTTGACATTCTCTTCTTGGAATTGGGGGGCTGCCTTGGGTGTGCGGGAGGGGACTTCTGGGGTTCTCGGCGGCCCCCTGTTGTTGAGGTGACATTGGGACTCCCTTAAGCGGGGTTGGCTCTTGCAGTCTTGGGGTGTCAAGTGCAGTGAGAATCTGGGAGCAGGGGCGGAGGGCCGCAAGTCCCAGGCGGGCTGCAGCCCCCGGAGACTGGTCTGGCCTGGTCTGGGCTTCGTCAGGTAGGTCTGGTTCTGGGTCTGATGACCCCGCCCTGCCCCGCCTTACCTGTGGGCCCTGGAGGCTCCCATGCAGGTATGTGGAGGGTTTGAACTCCAAACACAGCCCCTGCTGACTGTAAACACCTGTGCGTGGGGGTTTGGGGGCTGTGCTCTGGGGGGGCCCCTGCCTGGGCTTGCCTGGTGCTCACGTGCCGCTGAGTGAGCGCTGCCCTCGCTGTCATGCATCAGAAGGGGCTCATTTGTGGCGGCAGAAGTTCCCCTTCTCTCCCAGGCCACGCCTGCTCTATCCACAGCTTGGGGGGCAGCCTGTTTGGAGCTCCTCCGCCCCCCACTCCCCTGCCCCCAGCCTTTCCTGCTGCTTTCTGCCAGAAGCCTGCTGGAGGGGAGGCTTTGCCACCTGTGGCCCCCGTGTGGCTGCCTTCATTCATTCACTTCGCTCCTGATTGAGCTGCGCGTGCAGCAGGGCAGAGACGTCCGTGAGCAAACACGATACCTGCTTTGTGAACTGGGGCATCCTTCCTGTCCCTGTCTGCTCCCCAAGCCCTTTCCCAAACCAGCTCCCTGTCCCCTCTCTGTCCAGAGCCTGCAGGGTGCTTTCGCTTGGAGTCTGAACAGGCTGTCATGCTTCCCTGGCTCCGAGCACTGGGGCCTGCCTGCTCCTGTGGGCCCCCACGGGCTCCTCTGCATGTGCCCTCGGCCCTGGTCCCCTAGCCACACACAGGCCCCACGAGAGCCACCTTCTTACTGGGCCAGTTGAGTCGCTTTCTGACTTCGCTTCTGCCTGTGCACGTGGCCATTCTGCGGGCTGGCCTTCCTCTTCTGTGCCCAGCTCTGAATGGGTCCTGACAGCCCCGGCTGACCCCAGCTCTTCCCCGCACCCCGGCCTTAGCCTCCGTGGGCCTGGCTGGTCGGCTTCAAACCCAGCGAGGTCCCGGCCCATCTTTGCCCTGCTTCCACCTCATATCCAGCTTCCCCTTTTCTGTCCATTGTGACAAAACTCCGGCACATGTTTCTTCATCACGTCTTCCATGAACACAGCCACTGCTCTTTTTCCGCATTTTCTGACTTCCTCGCTGCCAGGGTGCCCTTTGAGTGGGGCATGTGTTCCTGGAACTGCCTCCCAGCCTTCCGGAGACTGCTGGGGGTAAATGGCTCTTAGCTCTCCCGTTGCCCTGCTCCCCCGCTCCGTGGTCATACGAGCTCTTGCCTTTATCTCTCTTCGAGCCCCGGCATCTCCTGCTGCCCTAGTCGTGAGGGGCCCCTCGTGCCAGGATTCTGTCTCCCAGTGGCAGCTGGTCCCCAAGATGTGTTTGTGGAGGGCGAGCTGCGGGCCAGGCCTCCGAAGGTGGGCCCGGGCCAAGGGTGCTGGTGCCTGTGCCCAGGAGGGGCCTCCAGCCCCCAACCCGTCCTGTGTGAGGTCTCTGCTCTGTCTTCCTGGGATGTCCCCCACACCTTCACCCCTCCACGTGAGCATCACCACCGGCACCTGTCTTAGGGCCCAGATCAACAGGTAGAACGTGTGCCAGCCCTGGCCCCCCAGTGCTCACATGACCGTGGTAGAGTTACCAGTGCAGCCTCCCCTCAGCGGCACGGCGCACCCGGGGGCACCCTGGAAGGGCAGGCAGAAGCCAGCCGGCCTCCTATGGCTGCCCATGTGTATGGAGTTGGGCCCTCTGGAGTGGCCCTGGTGCTGGTCTGGGCTTTGGACTCTCAGCCAGGCCTGGACAACTGGAGGCCGCCATGCCCGTCAGGTGGTCTCTGCTGCTGCTTCGGTCTGGGCCCCTAGGAATGCCTCTGGGGGACGAGCAGACCCCCAGGTCTCCAAACAGAACCACAGCCTCTTCTGGGCCTACCCTGTGCTTTGGAGAAGAGCCTCTGACCTGTCAAGTGCCCCGGGGGCCAGCCCTCCCACCTGAGGCGGCTCTGTGGCACGCTGGCCTTGGGTGGCAACCTGAGGGCCACCCTGTCTGACACCCAGGCTGCTGACCAGGACGCAGCTCCGGCTTTTTCGGACTGACTGCTGGGGCCCATTTTCCCCTGGGACTGCGCAGCCAGAGGGGTTCTGGTGCCACCTGCTGGGGACAGGTGGCAGAGCCTCCTTGAGAGGAACAGGCTTGGGGCGGCGGGGGAGCAGGAGCCTCAGCTCTGCCGGCCCCCGGAAGGGGCCTCTGGAAGGAAGCTTGGGACCGGGTGCTGGGCCTCCCGAGGGCCTGCCCTGCTGGCTGCCTGACAGCTGCCCTGCTCGAATTGGCCCTCGCCTTGTGCTGGGCCGTCCCCCGGGGTGCTGGCCTCAGGCAGCCGCCCCTCCCCTGGGCTGACCTTGTCTCTCCCCACAGCCCTGGGTGCTGCCTATGGCACCGCCAAGAGCGGCACTGGCATTGCAGCCATGTCCGTCATGCGGCCGGAGCTGATCATGAGGTCCATCATCCCTGTGGTCATGGCCGGCATCATAGCCATCTACGGCCTGGTGGTGGCCGTGCTCATCGCCAACTCCCTGAATGACAACATCACCCTCTACAAGTGAGTGCCCGGCCCTCCCGATCCTGTCCTGTAGGGGGCCCCACAGGGCGGGGGGCACTGGGCGTGGGGTGGGGTGGGGTGGGGGGCTGCGGTGGCCGTGGCCAGCTGCCTCTGCCCCGCTGCTGATGTCCACCCTGTCTTTCTCTCCCAGGAGTTTCCTGCAGCTGGGCGCCGGCCTGAGCGTGGGCCTGAGTGGGCTGGCAGCCGGCTTTGCCATCGGCATCGTGGGTGACGCGGGCGTGCGGGGCACGGCCCAGCAGCCCCGGCTGTTCGTGGGCATGATCCTGATCCTTATCTTCGCTGAGGTGCTGGGGCTGTACGGGCTCATTGTCGCCCTCATCCTGTCCACAAAGTAGCCCCTGCGCCCTGCCGCCACAGAGCACCGTGTAAAGACCACCCCTCCTCATTCCAGAACGAGCTGCCTGACACCCACACGCACGGGGCCGCTGCCCTCTCAGTAGTTGGTCTTGTAAATGCGCAGTGTCCTAGTGCCCCTGTCTGTTGCCCGCCCCGCCCCGTGCCGTGGACATCCGGCCCCTTCCCCTAGGAGCAGGCCCCGGCCGCCCCCGAGTGCTGTGTAGGAGGATGAATTAGACGTGTCATTTTCTCTTCACTGGATGTTTATTTATAAAAGATTTGACCTGTTCATACGTCTGTGGAGCAGCCCTCGTCTCCCACTCTAGTAATCTTAGGTAGCGTGTTGCGTTGGGGGTCCTGTCCGCTGACTCACGTGGATGTCACCCTGCCCTCCGCTCGGGCTGCCGGGGAGGGCGGTGTGCTGGGCCCGCGGGCCCTGGCGATTTCTGTCCAATAAAGTAATCGATGTGACTGGATCCTGAGTGAGCGCCCTTTCTGGGAACCCCCTGGCGGGCGGCGGTGGGTGAGAGGGCTGCTGCACCGCCCCGC